ATTCCTGCTTCTTGGCAGGGGGTTGGTCTGGATGGCCCATGAGGTCTCTTCCAACTCTTTGATTCTATGATTCTAAGATCCAACCAGTCCATACTTCAGGAAATAAAGCCCGACTGCTCACTGGAGGGAAGGATAGTAAAGGCCAAGATGAAGTACTTTGGCCACATCATGAGAAGAAAGGAAAGCTTAGAGAAGACAATTATGCTGGGGAAAATGGATGGAAAAAGGAAGAGGGGCCGACCAAGGGCAAGATGGATGGGTGGTCTACTTGAAGTGACTGGCTTGACTCTGAAGGAGCTGGGGGTGGCGACGGCCGACAGAGAGCTCTGGCGTGGGCTGGTCCATGAGGTCGGGAAGAGTCGGAAGCGACTGAACGAATAAACAACAACAAACTAATCAGTTCCCAACACAGGATTCCCCAGGCAGGAATTAACCAGGCCTTGAACCTGCAAGGCAATTCAGTGCTAATCTAGGTGGCCAATTGCAACATTCACACTTGCCTCCAACAGACAAGAGTACTTTCTCCCACCCTGGACATCATTTCCCAGATATATAAACCTCACTTGCCAACAAACCTCACAACCTCTGAGGATGCCTGCCATAGATGTGACCGAAACGACAGGAGAGAATGCTTCTGGAATATGGCCAGGCAGCCCGGAAAAGTCACAGCAACCCAGTCAGGTTTGAGTCTGCATGCTGTCTTCGCCTCTCTCATTCCGCTTTGCTGATCCTCTAAGGAAATAAGTCTAGTCTAGCAAAGAAAAGTCCAGATTTTGTTATTGGTGCCGGTTTCATCGGGAATTAAGACTCTTAACACACACACACCACACACACACACTGCCATGGCGAGAAAGCATCTGTTTTCAGTAAGAGGGGCAGACACGGGGGGGGGGGGGGGTGTGTGTGCAAGGACTCCCTAGTGGCTTCAAGTTGAGGAGGGACGCAAGAGAAATAATGCATGTCTCCTGATGCATCCTGTTCTTAAGTCATTAGGATGGAGAGAGATGTGGAGGAAGGGAGGGAAGGAGGGAGGGAGGAAGGGAGGGAGGAAGGAAGGAAGGAAGGAAGGGGGGGGAGAGAGCCCCTGCTTCCCCCAAAGCTCTTTTAAGGTGGTCCTAAGAGAGAAAAAAGAGAGAGTCCCTGCCCCCGCTCTGCTTTCCAGTCAGGCCAGCTTGACTTTGAAGAGACTCTCTAGATTCATGCTCTGGGTTCAGTAGGAACACTCAGGAGACAAAGGAAACGGCAGCCCCACAAGACACACACGGGAGGGGGGGGGCTGGGGAGGAAAGCTGACTGGCTATTGGTGGAGACAAGCGAGACTGCCGTCGCCCCTTCTGTCTGCAAAAGAATCCCCGGCTCCTCATAGGAAACTTGGGCCACCCTCTCCAGGCACCCCCTCTCCAAGTGCAGCCTCCCTGGAGGGAGAGAGGGAAGGGCAGGGAAAAGGAAGAACAAATGGAACAGGAATACACACACACACAGGAACGCACTGTTGCTCCATATACTGCTGTCAGGTAGACAGGTGATAGATAGAGCAATTGTGTGTGTGTGTGCAATAGAACAGCAATATATTTATGTATCTCTGTTAATCTGTATAGATATATTAAAGGGGTTTCCCTTGACATGAAGTCTAGTTGTGTCCGACTCTGAAGGGTGGTGCTCCTCTCCATTTGTAAGCCGAATAGCCCGCATTGTCCATAGACACCTCCAAGGTCATGTGGCCGGCAGGACTGCATGGAGCGCCGTTACCTTCCTGCAGAAGCTGTGCCTATTAATCTTCTCACATTTGCATGTTTTCGAACTGCTAGGTTGGCAGAAGCTGGGGCTAACAGAGGGAGCTCACCCCGCTCTCAGGATTTGAACCACCAACCTTTTGGTCAGCAAGTCCAGCAGCTCAGCAGTTTAACCCGCTGCACCACCAGTAATAGGAATATTACTGCTTCACTTTATATATGTCGGTATGTGTAAAATGGAGCAGTAATAAGGTGTATTATCGAAGGCTTTCATGGCCAGAATCACTGGGTTGTTGTAGGGTTTTAGGGCTGTATGGCCATGTTCTAGAAGCACTCTCTCCTGACGTTTCGCCTGCATCTATGGCAGGCATCCTCAGAGGTTGTAAGGTCTGTTGACAGCCTCTGAGGATGCTTGCCATAAATGCAGGCGAAACGTCAGGAGAGAATGCTTCTGAATGCAATTCAGCCGGAAAAACCTACAACAACCCAATAATAGGGTGTATGTGTGTGTGTATATGTGTGTTTGTCTCTATCCACCTATCTCTAGATCTAGCTACATTACTGCTTCACTAAATGTGTGTGTATGCTTGTGTGTGTAATAAAACAGTAATATGTATGTGTCCAGGTGTCACTATTTCTAGATAATGTGTTACTGTCTGTATGTGAATATATGTGTGTGTGTATGTGTAATGAAACAGTTATATATCATATGTGTGCTTGTGTGTCTATTCTCTACCTATCTCTAGATATACTAGAGATATGTGCATATGTATGCTTGTGTATGTGTCTAGTGGAGCAGATATGTATGTGTCTCTATCGCTATGTGCGTGTGAGTATAGGTGTGAGTATACACAGCTGCTCCACTCAATATCTTACAGCTCCACTTGTATCTCCCTCCCTCCGGTGGTCACCAGAGATGAATGCTCCTGGAGGGGCGGATACGGGGATCTGGATGCAAGRCCTCCTCCCTCCCTCCCTCCTCTCCTTCTCTAGACGGCTTTCCCTTCTGCTCTGGCGTGGCCACKGGGACTGGGAGACCCGGAGGAAAGCGTCCTGCCTGTCAGCGGCGGGGAGGGGGACAGAAACGGGGGCCCACCTGCCCCAGAGGCCAGCATTCCCCGAGTCTTTGGGAGGGACGTCTTTCCTGCCCCCCCCCCCCATCCAGGCAGCCCTTTCCCCCTCTCCAGCTATTTCAACTGCAAGATACGCTTCAAAACGCGGGGTGGCCTCTCCTCGAAGGAGAAGAGAGAGAGCCGCCTGAGGCTGGCTGGCCGTTCTTCGGTGGGGCGGGGTTCCTGCACCCCCTTCAAGGCGAACCCGACTAGATGGCCTTTGGGAGTCTCGGAGCGTGTGCGCGCCAAAACACCATTGTGCAAAACACAGGAGAAATAGGCGTGCATACAAATAGCACTACCTAACAAGACTTTTGTTCCTGGGATATAAATGTCATTTCATTTAAAAAATGGAAAAAAGATAATTAAACTGCAGTTGTTTTTGCGGGACATCCTGCAGCACATTTTACTTTAGTTTTTCAATGAATGTCTCAAGCAATTCAGCAGTTTGTGGCAGCCAGAAAAACCAAGTTTCTGGAGTAGAACAACTACTTTCGAAGTAAGGACCGCAGAATTAGGCAGGAAATCACACTTTCAAGCCAGGAACAGAAAATATTTCAATTTTGTTACTTAGTGTAATGAACGCACGTTGATCCTGGGACTTTAGCCTACATTCGCTTGCCAAGTACCTCGGAAGGAAGGGAAGAAGGAAGGAAGGAAGGGAAGATGGAAGGCAGGAAGAGCCTGGGATCGACCCGCCGGCTCCACGAAGAGCAGCCGAAGCCCTCGCGGCGCCTGCGAGCCGAGCGGGAAGAGATCGGGTGTCCTGCCAAACCAAGGAAGCCAAAGGAGAGGAAAGGCGCGTCTTCCTCCGTTGCTCCGAAGGCGCGTCCCTCGCTCGGGCGGATGGCGGGTCTCCTGTGGAAAAAACTACAAGCTCTCCCTTCCCGGCAGCGCTTCTCTCCCGATGGGACAAGGGAGCCAGAATGGGACGAAAAAGCAACCCACGCGTCTCCTCTTCCCAGCACCGGCTTTGGGGGAGGGGAAGGGGGGAAAGAAGAAGGTGGAGGAGGAGGAGGAAGAGAGAGAAGCCATTCCTACGGTTGGAAAAAGCGAGCCAGGCTCTTGGGAAAGTGGAGGGAAGGAGAAAGCTGCCACTTCTGCCACGCGAGAAGAGCTTCGGAAAGAAAGGCCCGTCTAGCTTTGCTACAAAGAGATGGCCCAAAACAAACAAACAAACAACAAAAAAAAGRGGGGGGGGAGCAGTAGCAGTGAAGACAGCACACTGCCCCGATGTGGCGAAAAGTATCGGGACTCAGAAGCCAAAGGGGGGCTYCCGGGGGTCCCTGAGCATGGGCAAAGTCTTCTCCACAAAAGAGCCCCTCCCCTCTTCCTATGAGAAACGACCCCGAAGTTGAGGGGGACTCAGAGAAACTCCCCCCCACCCCGCCCCCGTTTTCCGGATGTTTCCCCCGTCCTCCCGGCTCTGCCCCCTCGTTGCCTGCTGCCCTCCAGCTCTTGACTCATCCGGACGTGTCGAGATGGCTCCCTCTTGCCAAGCACATGGCACGATTTCCTCTGCCAGGGTGACACGTCCACACCAGGCGGCTAATGAGCGCCATATGCCCGCGGGAGGCGCCGTGTCGCTCAGGGGCGCCATCCCCGCGAGGCTTGGGGGCGCCACTGGCCCACGCCGCGATTGCCTTGGAGCCCGGCGCCCCGCCTTCACAGAGCCACCGAGTTGGAAGAGAGAGATCCCAGGGGCCGGCCAGTCCAACCCCTCTTGGCCACGCAGGAACACAGTCCGAGCCCTCTCGTGAGAGAGCCATCCAGCTTCTTCTTCCAGGGTCGAACAGTTCTAAGCGCCAGGAAGTTCTTTTTTCCTGCAGTTTGAATCCCTATTCGCCCTCGATGGAAGAGACTCCAGAGTGACCGCTGTGCACGGGGTGGGAAAGGCGCGGGGCCACTCTCCAGGGCTCTTTTCCGGGCGGATGCCTCCTCCAGCCACCCATTCCCGCCCTCCCTCCCTCCCGTCATTCGCGGTCCCATTGAGGCTCAAAAGCAGCCCGAGAGGGGAGACCCTCCTCTTTTGGAGGGAGACCCTCTTTTCTGAGGGAGCGGCGCGGGCGCCAGGCAATTAAAGCGGGATTCCACCCCGCGCGTGACGTCAGCGGCGTGCGTGCCCCTCCCGCGAGCTATAAAAGCGGCCGCGTTCCGCAGTCGGCTCAGTAGTCAGCCCTGCTCGCGGGACAGCTCCCGGTGCTGAAAGTGCGGGCAGGAGAGCCCATGATGTCGCTCGCCGGCAGCCTCCTGGCCCTCCTGGCCTTCTCCTGCGGCCTTTTCCTGCCGGGGGCCGGGCAGAGCTTCGGGCAGACGCGCTTCATCTGCACCTCGGTGCCCGTGGATATGGACATGTGCACCTCGTCCGTGCAGAGCGGCGGCGGCGGCGGCGGGGAGGACCTGAAGACCACGGTGCTGCAGCTGCGGGAGACGGTGCTCCAGCAGAAGGAGACCATCATGAACCAGAAGGAGACCATCCGGGAGCTGACCACCAAGCTGGGCCGCTGCGAGAGCCAGAGCTCGCTGGAGGCGCTGCCCGGGGAGGGCAAGGGCAGGAAGCAGCAGCCGGGCTCCTCCAAGAACACCATGGGCGACCTCTCCCGCACGCCCGCCGCCGAGACCTTGAGCCAACTCGGGCAAACTTTGCAGTCGCTCAAGATCCGGCTGGAAAACCTGGAGGTACCGCTCCCCCCTCCCTGGGTTTCCTAAGCCGGACCACTTTCCACCTTGGCCCGTCGTGGCGCCCCCTTTGCCCCGTCCCAGGAGGGGGAAATGTCGCAGGAGAGGCCGGGGTGCTCTCGCCAGCCTCCCTCCCTCGCCCCCCCCCCCTTTCCTTCCTTCTTCTATGGCGCCTTCCCTTCTGGTTGAGCTGCCAGTGGGTTTAGCTGTCAGGGTAGGTAAAGAATAATGCTGTGGTGGTGTTAATGAGGTTTGCCAGCCTCCATCTCTCCTTCCATTCACTCTCTGTCTCCCCTTCTCCTCCCGCCTCGGGACCCCTCCGCCGCCGCCGCCGCGCGCAGCAATTCAGCCGGATGAATTCGTCCAGCCAGACCAACTCCCTCAAGGATATCCTCCAGAACAACATCGACGATTTAGAGAAGCAAGTGCTGTCCCGCATTAACAGCCTGGAAGAAGGGAAGTACAACCCGAAGAACGAGTCGGAGGAAAGGGGGAAGATCGAGAGCACCTTAACTTCCCTTCACCAAAGGATCAGTGAGTTAGAGAAAGGTAAGGGAGAGCCGCCGGCCAAAGAGGAAGCAAGCAAGCAAGCAAGCAAGCAAGCAAGCAAGCAGAGAGACTGGAAGGACATTCCCAAGGAGGGATTATTACACCTCAGGAAGATAGGAGTTCAGCTATGGCAAAAATAAGTTTTTTCTTAAAGCCATTCTGAATACCTTTGTGGCTGAAGAGTGGGGTAAACAGTCTCTAATTCTATGTATTGTCGAAGGCTTTCACGGCTGGAATCACTGGATCGTTGTAGGTTTTTCGGGCTATATGGCCATGTTCTAGAAGCATTCTCTCCTGATGTTAGACCTCACAACCTCTGAGGGTGCTTGCCATAGATGCAGGCAAAACGTCAGGAGAGAATGCTGCTAGAACATGGCCATATAGCCCAGAAAACCTACAATAACCAATTCTCTAATTCTTTTTTCCGTGTCAGGAACGACTTGAGAAACTGCAAGTYGCTTCTGGTGTGAGAGAATTGGCCGTCTGCAAGGAYGTTGCCCAGGTGGCGCCCGGATGTTTTGATGTTTTACCACCCTTGTGGGAGGCTTCTCTCATGTCCCCGCATGGGGAGCTGGAGCTGATAGAGGGAGCTCATCCACACTCTCCCCAGATTCGACCTGTCGGTGTTCAGTCCTGCTGGCACAARGGTTTAACCCATTGCACCACCAGGGGCGCCTATTCTCTAAATAAAAAAATAAAAATTGAAAAAATGCCCCCCACACAGAGGTACCAACTTACAGCCTTCCCCATCCATTATTTAAACAGATTTATCACGAAGATATTCAGCTACCTTCTTCTGTTTCTATTCACCAATACACATACGTTTAGTGTGTAGTTGTGTGTTCATGTGCGATGAGGAAAATGGGAATTGGAGAACACATTATTCCCCACGGATAGTTTCCAAGCTGGAAAGAGATACCTTTCTTCATTCAGCAAAGCACCTTAGACTCAGCACACCCTCAGTGAGGAAATGCATCATATCTTTAAATACATTGAGAGCTACCCTCTAAGTGACCTAGGAGAAGCTGTCGCATATATTTTGGTCTGCTAAACAATTTGTGCATGTTAAACTTCAATAGGACCCATGGTTCCCTCCACTCACTTCTGTGCTCCTTTTTAATCTTTTGGATCAATTATCCAAAATTGCTTTCTGGCCATTGTGTTTTTCAAAAGGTGTGGGGGAAGGAGTGAGAAAAAGACCCTAGAGCTGTCCATGTGACCAGGATTAGAGTAGAGAAATGTACTAGAGGGATTTAAATACTGCCATCTTAAGGCTCATGATGTAATGGAAGGGAAGAAAGGAAGAAGGGAAGAAGGAAGGAAGGAAGGAAAGAAAGTTGATCACGAGTCTTGACCCCACTTTCCTAGTTTCCAACAGACCTCTCAACCTCTGAGGATGCCTGCCATAGATGCAGGCCAAATGTTAGGAGATAATGCTTCTGTAACATGGCCATATAGTCCGAAAAACCTACAACAACCTTGGAAAGACTGTTTCGCCCTGACCACTAGCCATGGTTCTGAAAAGGGACTCAAGGCATTCTTATCCATCTATTTATTTATTTACTGTATTTATATGTTGCCTTTCTCACCTCAATGCAGTTTAAAACATACTAATGGCAAAAATTCAATGCTGACATACATGTAAAAAAACATGATAACTAAACAACAACATATAACTATGAATTAAAATAATTAATTCCAGGATACCTTTTATTATTACCTGAAAAAGACAATTCTGTGCCATCCTGCATATATTCACACTGAAATAAAGTCCACTGAATTCAACTGAATTTATTTCTGGGGAAGTGTGTTAAGAGAGCGCAACCTTCTCGACATGTAGCAAACACTCTTTCTATTTCTCCCCAGGCCAGAAGGACAATAGACCAACAGACAAGTTTCAGCTGACTTTCCCTTTGCGAACCAATTACATGTATGCTAAGGTGAAGAAAAGCCTGCCAGAGATGTACGCCTTCACTATCTGCATGTGGATAAAATCAAATGCTTCCCCTGGTGTGGGAACACCTTTCTCTTATGCAGTACCTGGGCAAGCCAATGAGCTAGTGCTTATCGAGTGGGGCAACAATCCCATGGAGATCCTTATCAATGACAAGGTAAGTGTTACTGTTCTTAATCCTTGGTTTGCTTGGAATTGCTTTATGATTATTTTTTTTAAAAGTAGAAATTCATGAATGAATACACAAAGAAGTGGCAGTGAGATCAACATTAATTCTAAGCAATAAAAACAGTTAAAAGTTTTCTGTAATTATTTTTTTACATTAGCTGAATGTGGAAACCTGTCAATGTTGATAGTGCAGAGAATAATATTAGAATACTGCAGTTTTGCCTTTGAAATGGAAACCTCTCTCAGTTTCAGTCTATTTCTGGGAGGATGTAAATATAAGATCCAGGCTTTAAAACTGAGTTAGAGGGGATTATATTTAGTTTACTTTCCAAGGAAGTAGCTTTAGAAGCTCTGATTCTGTTTTCCATTCACCTGTGGTTCAAACAAAATTATTAAATAGCACTGTATATATTTACATTTATCATGCGTTCTAATCTTTTTTTTAAATAATCTTATGGCACCCAATTAAGTGTGAATGCAAGTAAAAAATACCTTTGTGCACAAGTTAGTTCCGCATGAATTTTCAGACAGGTGAAAATCCTTAATATTAAAGGCAGTGCCTGCAGTTTATTTCATTTTGCAGCATCAGTTTGCTTTAGGTTTTCAACAATGTGTGCCACATTAAATATATCAAAAGATATTTCTAATGTAAGCAGCCAGTTTTCTTGTAGGGGAAAGAAGGGAATCTGCTACCTTGTTCTGGAAATTAAGATATCAATATAAATGTAGTAGATTTTGCAAAATGTGAAAATCGTAATAATATTACTTGAAGTCCTGTCCATTGTGGCTATTATTATTTTTATTATTATTAATCTTGCTTTTCTTCCATGGATGGGATTCAAAGCAGCTAGGACATTTAAGCTGCAAACCTGTTTTTGTGTCCTTGAAAATAAACCAAGCAGTGTCATTTACTTCCCTGAGTATAGATTGCGGATCATTGCAACCCCTTCAGATCCTAATTTGTGTGACTATCACAGAAACCAAGTGAAGTTTCTCTCTTTTTAAAGAACACACCAGATTAAAGAGGATTGGCAGTTAAAGATTCTATACATGCCATTCCCCCCTTTCTCTTCTATATGGATTCCAAGTTTGCAGCAATTCTCCTTTTCTTTCCTCAGGTAGCAAAGCTTCCTTTTGTTATAAATGATGGAAAATGGCACCACATTTGCATCACGTGGACAACCCGTGATGGTGTCTGGGAGGCTTACCAGGATGGCACACAGCGAGGCAATGGGGAAAACCTGGCCCCTTATCATCCCATCAAGCCACAAGGGGTCCTTGTTCTGGGTCAGGAACAGGTAAGGTAGATGGCTGGCAACACAGAGAAATGAGTGACCACTGATGTTTGTCTACAGTATGGCCTGTGAAAATTTTCCAGAGCTGTAATATAAAGAATGGTGCAGAAAATGCTCAGCACTAGAAATAGTGGATTGAATTAAACAGAACTAGGTTCCCCCTTTGAAAATCTGTACAACTTTCAGGATACATTTTCGATTCCATTCCAATGCCAGAAGCCTGTTGGTTTTGTGCTGGATGGATCAGAATCCAGCAATTGTCATAGATTTCCTCATGTATGTGTAAGTGGTCCCTAGTACCACTGTAGTGTGATGACGTCAACATGCCCTTTTCGTGTAGTATGTCTCTTGCACATACAGACATATAATGCCTTTTGTAATGATTGTCCCGTATGATAGTGCTTGACTCTAGCAGATTTCTAGACTCCTGCAAAGCGACTGCACCAGAAGTAGCACTGCAGATTGCAGTAGACTTTGAAGATTTTTATTCTGGAATAGGAAAAGTAGAGAATTGGGATGGTGCAGGAAGGATGAGCCTAGTGGGATGGTGGAAGAAGAAGACAATTTTCAACCAAATAAGAGAACCACAAAAATTAATCTCCTTTCTTCAGGGTAACACAGATTCATGCACCCATGAATTTAAATCCACTCATGATTTTAAAAAATGCACTACAGATGGCCTTCCCATTGGGTAAATTGAACATTTGTCCCACACACAGGATCTGCAGGGCATACTGTGGTTTTGTCTATTGTGGGAACAGCAGCAACAACACATTCCACACCTGTATTTTACAAGGAAAGGTGTACACTCAGAAAGGCCCCTGTCCTGATTGCCTGTATGCCTAAAGCTAGCTCCAGGGAGACATGACTCTTGTAAATAGAATCACACATCACAGGGCATCCGAATTTCTTTCCTCCATTTCTCACAAAAGCGGGAGCTGTTTTCCCCTTCACTTACCATACAAGTGTCGTCACTCATCCTACCTGTCAACACACTCATGCAACACACACACGCCACACACAAGCTGAAAGGCATACTATCCAATTATTTTATCTAGTCTTTCAGTGCATTGTTTTCACATGCATAAAAAATCTCAAGATTTGGGATCAAATGTAAGAATGACCCATTTTTTTTTCTGTCCTCCACTTCACTGTCAGTGACTCCACCACACACGCATACATCACTGCTCAAACCTACATTGACAAATACGTTTTGCCTTTTTTATTTAAAATATTTCTAGTCTTCCTTTCAAAGTGAAAGATAAAAGAGAGCAATTTCTCAGAGTGTTTTTTCAACAACAAAATGAGTAAGAATAGAAATCACAAATCAAATACAGCTAATTAGATATAGCATTAAGCATGCACACACACCAGTAGAGATAAAACAGGAATTTAACAGCCTAGGGAAACTTGAAGGCCTTTTTCTGGCTCCTAAAACATTAGTGTCTAACCACTAGGCAACCTGCATGGAATACTAATCCCGTTTCTATCCTCCTTCTTTGCCAATGTGTCAGCTGTGCTGAACCAGCAACCAAAGGTCCAGTTTGGGAGGGAGGGGGATTCCTGCCAAGGAAAATGCATTTCCAAAATGCCAGCTCCCCTCCCTTGTATTGAACTCCTCTGATGCAGTCCTTTCCTGCTGACCTTTCTCTGCTACCATAAAAGCTTTCTGGCTTGTTTCAAGAGCTTATTCTGCCAGTCTGTAGCTGTCTAGTGCTAGGTTATCGGAAAGGTGCGGCGGGGGAGGGAACTCTTATAGCACATCCTGGAAAACTAGAGAGAGGAGGTTTCAATGCTTGTGTTTTCAATTTCTTTTATTCAAGGATACTCTTGGAGGTGGATTTGATGCTACCCAAGCCTTTGTGGGAGAACTGGCCCATTTCAACATCTGGGATCGAAAGCTCACCCCAGGGGAGATCTACAACCTTGCCACTTGCAGCACCAAAGCTCTGTCTGGTAGTGTCATAGCTTGGTCTGAGACCAACATTGATATTTATGGTGGAGCTACGAAATGGACATTTGAAGCCTGTCGCCAGATCAACTGAAAGTGCTGTTTTCCCCCCTTCCCATTTAAAATTCATTTAACCCTTGGTTAATAGACATTCTCCCCTACCCAGGAGTGAATTATGGACAAATCTATTTCCTTTTTCTGAGTTCCTTCCTTTAAAAAGAGATTCTATGGGTTCTCCTACAGAATCAATCACTTTTAAATTAAGCAATTGTTTTGTTTTTGTCTAGGAGACTTGGGCCAAGTCTTCTCTAAGGCAACTGGAACCTTTCAACCTGACAGTTAGGGGGGTTCACTGTTTTTATCCCATCCCTCTTTTGTTCTAATTTTCACCCATTCAGATTGGGACTTTATTCCCTTTCCATTTTGCTATCTGAAGTCTCATTATAAATGGTCTAATTTTTCTGGCTTGCCAACTTCATTTTGAAGCCTGAGTGCCTTTGGGCTGGTGCGACTCTTTCAGCACATTTCTCTTCATTTGCATATAGTTTCCAAAAGGATGTCTCTATATTGCTACTTTACTCCAAGTCTTTGAAGCAGCCATTCACCTGTGGGCAGGTATTTTATTTCCCCCCCCCCTTTTATATGAAAAAATTATTCTCTGAGTGACAGGAGGATAAAATATGCTTTTTGAGTGACACGTGATGGTGGTTTGACTAGATTTGGGGTATGGAGGGGGCAGGGCAGTTTTTCAAATCATCCAGTCCCCTCTCCCACAGTCCATATTAACTGGCTTCGGCCAGAGCACAAGAGAGCCATCTCTGCCCCCAAAGGGTACACATGAGACTCAGGAGCATTGCCAGGCCTAGGATACTAGACGGCTTGTCCAGATCCTGGCTTGTTATATGTAGGAGCTGCTGCCTCCTGTCTGTTTCAAAGGAGCTGCAGAACAGCTCCCTTTCCTATTCTGCCTTCATTTTGCTGTACAGCCTAAGGGGCTGCTTCTGTTAGCCATTGCAAAGCCTAGGCATTGTCCAGAGAACCTCCCTTCCTTAGACATTTAAACGCTGCTTCTCCCAAAACTCTGTGGCCTGAAGATGGCAGAGAATCCCCCCTCATCCGTTTCCTTTTCTTGCTCATTGCTTTGTTCCCCAGCAAGCTCTGGCTTGCCTTCCCATCCAGAGGCCCCACATCCTGGGCTTCTGGCAGAACACTTGGCTGGGAGGTGAGGTTCTTTTCTTGTTGCTGTATGAAACATTCCCATACCCTCTGCCAGTGCTCCTTTACTCTAAGAGCCATAAACCTGAAGGGCTGGGGGTGGGAGGGGGGCGCGGGTAGTGGCTGGGGGCTGCAAAGCATGCTGTTGCAGTCTGATTTCCATGGCCGTAACTGCTGAGCTGAGATTTTTGCCTTTGAAATACAAATCGAGTTCACTGCCGGCGGGGCAGGATGCAAAGAGCCATGCCTGTGCCCTCTGTTTATGGGGCCTGATGGGATTTGAGGTATACTTGGCTTTCATAAAGGTTAAGAGATCTTCCTTCTCAAAAGGAAGATAGGACCTGTTTTGAGAGAGAGAGCTTTTAAGCACACTTGCCAAGAAACTGGGCAAAGGGCAAATTTTGCCCTCACTTCTGAACCTTGTGAACAGGCCTTTCTGTACACCCTTTTGCCCATGCCAGCCCTAGATTTTTTTAGAAAAACCAACAGGAATGACTAATGGATCTTATAAGTGTGTGGGGCCTTCCCAAGTCTATCAAGGCAAACAGCATGCATTTCTTATTCAAACCCAGACACAACTGTTTTATCTGGAAAGGCATCAGCTTTTGGAGACCAAAAATGGAAGCTTTGGGCTTTTCTTAGGGGGATTGTGCTTTGGTTTGACAAGAATGCATCTTCTTTCCGCCTGGAGTGGGAAAGGTTTGCCAAGTGATGTGTTGTTTTGGTGAAGCTTAATTATTCTGTTCAAGTTTGTAGTGCCCTTCGATATCCTGCAGGCTTACAAGGAAGACAAGGGGTGCCCTGTTGTTTCTTGCATGTTTCAGTAGGTGCCTCAGCCATATTTTACCTGGTCTAATGCTTGCCTGCTTGCATGGGCTACTGCAGAGCTGTGGGGGTTTGCTGAGTGATAGTTCATGCTTTAAAAAAAACATCATCTAAGCACATTCACAGAGGTCAAGTGTGGCTGGAGAAAGGTGGCTAATGATGCAGTGTTCTCCCCCATGATCAAGAGCACTACACCTTTTTTTGGTATTTTTTAAAACAACAACAGCAACAACAGTCCTAGTGACCTTGAATCTGTGAGAATTTCCCCCTCCAACATTGTCATATCTTGTAGGGTCCTGGGGTAGTGAAGTTCTCACTTCAGTACTGTCCCAAAAGAGAACAGTGGACATTATTTTTGAGCACCTCTACCAAGCAATGAACACTGTGCCAGCGGATCAGATTGACTGATGCTTACCAAAGCGGAAAGTGTTTGGAGTGGTCCCTCCAATGCCATTGGGAGTGGTCTTTTCCATGCTGGGCTTAATGGGAGCTGTAACTTCAGCACCAAGAGGGCTTTTGTGAGCATGAAAGAAACATCTGATCCACCCCAAAACAAGCCTAATCCTAATATGATTGATGTTCCCTTTTGCACTGAATAATACATGCCTCTCTCAGGTAATGTCCTTTTATATTTTCCAAAAACACAATGTGAGCACAACACAAGCTGTGTGTGTTTTTGCCTAAATACTATCTGATAGTTCCCCAAATACTCCTTTTAAGGTAGAGATTCACTGTTTTCACAGGTGTGGTTCCACTGAGGATTTGGTTATATACTTTAGGCCAGTGGTTCCCAACCTTTGAGTCTCCAGGTATTTTGGACTTCAACTCCCAGAAATCCCAGCCAACTTACCAACTGTTAGGAACTGTGGGAGCTGAAGTTCAAAACACCTGGAGGCTTAAAGGTTGGGAAGCACTGCTTTAGGCCAAGGGCCCTCCACATATTGATGAAGTAGAACTCCCATCAGTTGTGGGCAGCATAGTCAATGGTGAGAGATGATGGGAAGGTAGGCCAGCAACACCTGGAAGGCCCCATTTTCCTTTTATGTGGGGTAGGCAGTGAATCAACCTTTGCCACTTGATACTAAGCAGGTGTAAGTTTTGAAATAAATTTCCATGGAACTTACCCTAAAACTGCATTTAGAATTACAGTTTCAGTTTAATATTATTTAAATGTCATTTACCCTCCCTTGGAAGTTTAACTACGGTTTGAAATGTCAAGCATTCCTGTTTTTGTAAACACACACACACACACACCAAACACTTTCTCTTATTGTAAAAGAATGGTATTTTTATTAGAAAAGAATATATAGAAAATGAACGGGTATTCCCTGAAAAATACTTTTAAGATACAGATTAAGGATTAAAGAATGATAAACTTATTTTGAAATATAAAGTGTTTTTATATGGTTTCATTTTTAAAAGAATTCCTGGTTTGTACTAATAGACTTGCAGCCATCAGCCCTTTATATTACCTCACCCTCTCTGATCCTGGCCAAGGGCTTTTTTCCTGGCTAGGAGGGGGAAAGGGGGGGGGAGGGAGGGAGGACAGATTCGTGAGTCTCAATCGAGCTATTTTGTCCAATTCTGAAGTTGTGGCAAATGAATATGTAAGGAGGATGTAATAAGAAGTTCAAGGTTGATATTGCTGCACTAATGGAAGGCTGCTGTTTGTTAGATATTGAAGTGGGTCATGTGACCGCCCAGATAAAAACACAATGCTCAAGTGCTGGGGGAAAAAAATCTATCTGAATTTTAGACACAACACAAACCCATCCTAGGTACCTTGCTTTAAACCTTGGCTCACGGCAGCATATTATAAGCAGTATTCTTTAAAAGAAATCACCAACAAAATTGTACCTTGAAAGATCGATCACCTAATGATCCTTATTGAAAAACCTCCTTGAAACTAATGGTGAATGTTTAGTATAATCTGATGAAGGGGGAAAAGCATGTAAAGGCAAATAAATCCAGTCCAAATTGCCTGTGATTTGCCAAAAATTTAAAAAGGGGGTGATAGTGATATAATTGTATATATTGTACATTGTGAAAGAGGATAAATGTTTCTTGAGTTACTGTTCTGTTGACCAAAGCTGTATATTTTTCCTGTTTCTCGCTATCAATCTTTACTGGGTTTCGAATGAGTTGTTGTTCTATTTTACATCCACAGTCCACATCAGCGGTTCTTAAAATGCACTGTTTCTACTGGTTCGTCATGCTTTTTTTTTCATTTTACTGCTGAACATGAATTGTTGAGTTTATTTTTACACAATAAAGAGTGATGAAAGACACTAGGGTGGCTTTCATTTTTCAAGCATTTCTTTCTCGGCAAAAATGAAACAGCCCAAGGATTGAATTTTTCAATCGGCAAGGAACCCTTGCCAAGTTCCCTTGGGTGGGAAGAGACATGCCTTGAGCAGCCAAACTGGCAGGCAGCAGGAAGCTCATACGCTCAGGCCTTCTAGGATTGCTGCAGAGACATTGGATTTCTGCCACAGTTCTGGAAAACTAGTGCTGGAAACAACAGTATGTGTAGGCTTCCAAGCCAAATGGACCAAGTGGCCAGACCTTGCCAAATGGACACAATTTGCTCATGAGCTATCATTTCCTACCAACTCTCCTATCTAAACTATTAGGTTTGCTAAGCTTTTGGCTGCCTTGCTTTCTTGTTCCATCATAGGGATCTGCTAGATATCTTTTTGATCCTGGTTCTGTATTGTCTCTCTGATTGACTCATCCACTATACCCATTCCTATAAGTTCAGAGCAGCACATGCTCCATCCCTGTCTCTGGTCTTCTAGAACTACAATCGGGTTGGTTTTATAGTACTGACATCTCAAGCTGAATATCCCATATTAGATCCTAACTCCTGGGCCTTCTTGGTAGAACAGCCCCCCTCCTTTTATATGTGAGTGAGGCATTTGCACTGACAAGAGAGATAGTATATGAAAAAGGAGGCAGAAGTATTATTTCGCTGAAGACAACAAAGGAATCTCCTGTTTGCCTCATCAGGGACTGTGGCCTTGTCTACATTGGCCACTTAGAACCTTATCAGATGCAGGGAAAGGAGCATCTTCTCTTTGCTGCCAGAGTGGAGTTCCATAGAGCCCATCACATGATGCAAGGCAACTTCTGTTGGGAGTCCGTTGCAACAGAGTCCAGAGGAGTCAGGTGTTTACCTGACTCCTCATTGAAAAGGGGAAGAGAAGGTGAAGAGGAAGCAAGGAAAGAAGGAAAATGGCATGGGAAGAAAGAAGACGGACCCTGACAGGATGGAATAGAGTCTGAAGGTTCCCTTTGCTTTACCATGCTTTCCCCACTGTCCCCAGATTTATCCCTGCCCATCTGATAAAGTCTTTAATCTGGAATAACTCCATAGCACTATGCTCTAGACTGACTCCAGAACTAGTCTTACCGGACTGATCTCACTGTGGTAGCGCATTGGTGTTCAGATGGTGCAGCCAGGCTGATACAGCATCAGTACCACAAGGGGCGCATCCAGACAGCCACTTTATTGCGGAAACTTCCACAATAAAAAGGGGGCTGTCCAGACAACATCCTGGAAAAACCTGAATTAATCTGCCACAAACCAGGAAAACTCTGGTCTGTGGTGAATTAATTTGATAGTGGGTTTATTCCACAACTCCTTGGAAGGCACGGGATAAACCCAGTACTTCGACTGTCTGGACTGCTCTCTCAAAAGTTCTGGACTTTTGAGGGAGTAATCCAGACACTACTCCTGTGTTTTCCAGGCTGATTCAGCCTGCAAAACTGCAAGGGCTCCAACCCTCTCCCCCAAACCCCCACAAAACCATAAAAAATAAAAAGGAAAGTTACTGAGAGCCATTTGGCTTCTTCTTTCTGCTGGCACATACCAATGACACCCGAACTGAAGGGGGTGGGTGAGTAAATCACTCCTGGCTCGCTCTATGTTTTTGGATGTCATTGGTATGTTACCTCAGGTAGGAAGAGAAGCCAAATGGCTCCTGGTGAGTTTCCATTTTATTTTTAAGGGGTTTTTTTTTGGTGGGGGGTGTTGGATGGCCACATGTTATCCTGGAAATATTCAGGATAGCACGTGGACAGCCAAAGGGGAAAGCTAATTTTTCTCCTGCCTGTGTAGATTTAAACCCGCCCGGAAGTGGGTTTAATGTATGTGTGGAACCGCCCTGGGATATCACCTCATCCTCCGTGTCCCATGTGCAATTGAGCTCCCTGCAAGTACCTGGCCATCACCTGTTGCTTCTGCTGTTGTCAGAACTGAGTGCCTGTGTGACCAGCAAGGAGAGGGCAGGTTGACCCATCTCCTTCCCCGGGGAAAGAGTGATGGCAACAGTGTTCTTCTAGACAGGATTGGGCCAAATGGAACCTGATCTGTCTATCCAGAATGCTCCAAAGCACATAGATACTTCTGAGTTTCCTGTGAAGTCTACAGTATCTCTTGACTTTGCCAAAAGCATGATAAGATCGGATTAAGGGCAGGAAATCTGGGATAGTCAATAGAAATCCCCATGCATCATGGAAACAGCCAGCAGATGATTCAAGGAGAGTCCAGGATTTTTATTAGTGCAGATAGACATATGATAAAGATGAGAAGACCTCTTTCAGTCTGAGAAGTACATTCAATTACACAGCTGGATAAGTTCAAATGGAAATGGGTTGGACCAAAACTACAAACACATCTTATAGTAATGAAATAAGCAAATATTAGGAGAAGCATTTCAAGTTAGTGGGGTAGGGTGTGTGAATCATGTGAAAGCTGGAAAAGTATCAAAAAATGAGAGGAGAAGTGGCTATGACCATGATCTGGAGAACCCCAAGTGGCTTGATCTCTCCCCACTCCACCCACCAGGACAGATTCAGTTCCAGGCCTGAAGCTCCCTTCCTTTGTACTCAGAAATAGGAGGCCGGGGGGAAGAGTAAAAAAGTGGTTGGGTTGCCAAGAAAGCCTGGTTTAATGCCCGTATGGCCAGGCTGCAGCAGGCAATCTCCAGAAACTCCACACCAACTTCCATTTCAGAAAATTCTGTTAATGGCACCTCTCAGAAATCGCCTCCCTTCCCTTTCCTGCAAGGCCTTCAGCTTTCTGGTTGTCAGGGAAACAGCATCTTGGAATCAGCCTCTTCTCCACTAAGTGCATGTGACTCTCACTCGAAAGCCTTTTCTCTCTGCAAGAGTTTGATAATGGAGTTTTGTCCTACTTCCCTTTACAGGGGAAAAGAGGGTTGAATGGAGGAAAGGAGTAGGTCTCCTACTGTCAGTAATTTGACCTTGATCCAGAGAAGCACTGAACATTTTTATTTCAAAACTGATTTCAAAAGAGACAATAAACGTTTGGAGCACGAGCACCTGGAATTCCAACAATACAGGAAGAGTTACAAGACGGTGCTTGTAGAGATAGTAGAAGAGGCTTTGGCTCAAGAAAGGGGGACAGAAATGATTAGGCTTCCAGGGCAGCAGCCTGTGTCAGTCCAAGACAAAAACCGCACTCCAATGCACATACATACACATACATACTCTTTTACTCTGCTGCTCAGGTGTGTGTGTGTTGTACTGGCTTTGAGGGTTGCATACAAAACAATCAAAGGCAACATGCAGGTCTAGGTTGATGGGGTGTGCACCTATATAATTACATAATTTAAGAAAAAGTCCAGTTTCATCTATCCTCCTTGGTGAGAGAACATACAATAGCAGAAGAACTATGCTCTGTGCAACTCAAAAGACCCTTTTCCAGAGAAGAGGTGCAGGGAATCTGGGTCAAGCACTAAGAGATATTACAACAGCCAGGCCCGTAGCCAGGATTTCGTTTCGGGAGGGGCTGAATTTTTTTCAGGGGGATTTCAGGGGGGGGGCTGAGTTTCAGGGGGGGGGGCTGAGTCTGAGTGAAAGAGGGTCTACCCTAGCAAACCTTTTGTATCATTACCCCAATACCCCCATGCATATGGGATATATTGAGTATGGTGATCAGATCATGATATGAATAAACATAACAGTTTAAATAATGCACCAGTAAGGCCTTTTCGCGAACCACCCTGAGAATTTCGGGGGGGGGGGCTGAAGCCCCTCAAGCCCCCCTCCCCCCCCCCCGGCTACATGGCTGTCTGGGGGTGAAATTGTCCTTGTCTCCCTGTCTCATCTTGCAGTGTTTAATGATTTAGGCTTTTCAAGAATCACTAGAGTTTACTGAAATCTTAAAATTGTTTTAATGAAAAGTTTTTTGAAAAAAATTAAGAGTGGCAGAACTGGCTGCTTTCACTTTCTGCTAAGAATGTGGGCCAGCTGTCCAAAGGTATCATGACTACGTGAGAATCAACCAATTTGTCAGATAACAGTTCTTTATTGTCCTGCTAGTCACTTGACTTTGACTGAAAGGCATATAGTATAAATGCACTAAGGTTTTATTACAGCTATCTGATATGAATTGCCAGATACAGAGGTACTTTGCTGAGTAAGTGTCACTGCTATCAAACTGGGGTTCCAAACATTCAACCCCTTCCACAGAAGTTGCGTCCCTTCATCCAAGAAGAAAAACCCAACAGAAAACAAACTGTCTTCTAGCAAAGAAATATTTATATAAAGATATTCACAAATAAAGCAGAGTCCTTGGAATATCCACACAAAAGCTTATAAACACAACAGGTCTGTAGCCAGGATTTCGTTTCGGGGGGGGGGGGCTGAATTTTTTTCAGGGGGGTTTCGGGGGGGGGGCTGAGTTTCGGGGGGGGGGGGCTGAGTCTGAGTGAAAGAGGGTCTAGCCTACCAAACCTTTTGTATCATTACCCCAATACCCCCATGCATATGGGATATATTGAGTATGGTGATCAGATCATGATATGAATAAACATAACAGTTTAAATAATGCACCAGTAAGGCCTTTTCGTGAACCACCATGAAATTTTTTGGGGGGGGGGCTGAAGCCCCCCGCCCCCCCCCTCTGGCTACATGCCTGACAACAGCCATTGACATCTGAAATGTTTTCCAGATATGCCATCCATCCTGTGCACACATGTGTAATAAGGTTATACTGAACACATGGCATACACAATGTACTTCTAAAAATCTTCATATTTAAGGATGTTGAATGACAGATGATAGGCAAAAGTAATTTTGCTTCCTCCTGCAAATACCTGAAATAAAACAGAATGAATAACCATTGGCCTGCCAATGCTGAATTGCCACACCTTTAAAGCAGTTCCAGAGGCCCTGATGCAATTCTAATTTCTCAAATGAGTTGAGTATGTGGAAGTAATTTTCCCCCTCAATTTGTTTTCTAGGATTTTCAAATCCAGCA